ATGCCCCATTGCTTAAACTGCTGGCCCTGGGCCAGCCCTCTCTTTCGCCCCTCCCCAGACCCAGCCTCGAGCCACACATACGGCCCTCTGACCCACCCCTCACCACCCAGCCCGGAGAGGGTTCTGCACAAAGAACTAAAGTCCCATTTCACGGCTTAGAATACTGAGGTCTGTGCATGGCCAGAAAGGAGCTGAGTCTGAGGTGACAGACATAGGCCTTGGACGGGACTTGGGGGATAAACCCAACCCCATTTTCTTGTTTACACAGTAGTACTCGCTGTTCCCACGACCTGGAAACCTTTTCCTTACCCTAAGCGACTTGTCATTCAAGGCCCAGCTAAAGTGCTCCTCCAGGCAGCCTTCCCTGACCCTGACTCATTCTCCTCGGCGATCTGAGCGCACTCACAGTCAGGGTTTCCCCAGGGTTAACACAGAGAAGGGGTGGCTTGAGCCAGGCCCTAAAGGATGAGGAAGAATTCACCTGGCTGAGAAGCATGAGGCTTGGAGAGGGCACTCCAGGCAGACAGAACAGCACGTACAAAGTCGTGGAGGTGTGAGAGTGCCAGTTAGTGAATACCACTTATCAAAACTATAAACAAATGCCCAATACTGCAGGTAGAACAAGCTCCAGGTGGGCACAGAGGTTATGGGAGCAAGAAGAAATGAATTTCGCCTCTAGGAAGATGGGAATAGTCAGAGATGGTTTCATGGAGGAGATGGACAGGATTTCAGCAGATAAAGAGTCAGGAGGGAAGCGTGGCAGACGGTGACACCAAGGGCAGTGGCGGGGGCTTGGGGAAGGGGTCAGGAACAGAGGGTGGCAAATGGCTTGATGCGAGGGAACATAGATGCTAGGCAGAGTGCAGGCAGGGCCAGGTCAAGGGGAGGTTCTAGAGCCAGGGCGAGGTGTTCCCCATGCAGGTGATGGGGGTCGTGGAAGGCTTTTTGAATGGAGCAAGGAATGGTAGTTCACAAAATGTCACTTCTCTCTAGTTGTCTGGGTCTGAAAGCCCTGGTTACCCAGACAGAGCAGCCAAGCTTCTGAAGCCTTGAATGTCAACACCAAGCCAAGGCTCCTCCCCCAGAGGGCTCTGGCCAAGGGAAGGAGAAAAACAGAGTGCTCCTCTCACCTGGCTGCGATGGTGGCCACGTTCTCCATCCAGGCCATGATCTGGCCCCCAAAGGTGTTGCCCTGGTGATTAGCGTGGGGGGGCAGGACCAGCTCCACACTCTCCACACGAGTCTTCTCGGCAGGTACCATGTGGCTGCAGTCTCTGTTCTCCAGATCTGAGCAGGGGAGGGACACAGGGAGGGAATGAGGGGGGTGGTTGAGAAGGCTCCCAGGGGCAGACCCTCCTCACCCACACCACGCCACCCCACTCAGGTGCTTTTTTTTGAGGTGGAGTCTTACTCCGTCACCCAGGCTGGAGGGCAGTGGCACGCTCCTGGCCACCGCAGCCTCGACCTGCTGGGCTCCAGCAATCCTTCCGTCTCCGCCTTCCAAGTAGCAGAACTACAGGTGCGTGCCACCACACCCGGCTAATTTTTTGATTTATTGTAGAGACGAGATCTCACCAAGTTGCCCAGGCTGGTCTCGAGCCCGTGGGCTCAGGCAGTCCTCTCGCCTCGGCCTCCCAGAGTGCTGGGATTACAGGTGGGAGCCACGGCACCCAGCCCACCCGGGTGCTTTTATCTACTCAGCACTGAGAGTGCCTGGGACGCAGGCTGGCCCTGGGTGGGGAGCCTAGGGCACAGGGTGAGAGATGAGCCCGGCACAAGGTGGTGGGTGGAACACCAGCTTAGAGGCGAGACGTGCCCGGTCTGAGCCCTGTGGCACTCATGCAGCCCACATGACCTTGGGCAAACCAAGGGACCCCTCTGACCCTCAACTGCCTCATCTGTAAAGGGCAGACGTCAAACCTGACCCAACAGGACTGTCTGAGGTTGAAACATGATTGTGGTTCTAAGTGCCCAGCCCCCACTCAGGAGAGTTGCTCTCAAAAGGACAGCGCTTCCCCCCCTCCACCCTGCTGACTCCCTCAACCCTTGGCAACAATGGCATTCGGATCCCCTCAGCAGGAAAGACCAGGGAGTGAAGGGGGCCTTGGGCTTCAGGGGAGCAGATGCCGGCATGCCCCACTCAACCCACCCTCTCCCAGGGAGAGAGGCCTCTTCCTGGGAGGCCATCAAAGAGGTGGTGTTCTGCTGGCTCACAGGCTCTCAGAGATGCCACCCACAGGGTGGATGCAGAGAGAAGGGGAAAGTTGAGGAAGGCCCGAGCCAAGGTCTACGGACAGGACGGATAGGATATTCACAGGTCCCAAAGGGGCCTTCGACTTAGCTGGGGCAGGCGCGAGAAAAGGGATAGCACCCAGCAAGGCCGAGAGGCCAGCCAGAAGGCTCGTGACAGACAAAGGCAAGAGCTGTCAGGACAGAAGGGTTTTGGAGAGGCTGCAGTGAGATGGATGGACCGTGGGGACCTTGACGATTGCAGGAAGAGCCAGGCCTCCCCAGGCCCGGTCTCAAGCTCAGCATGAAGAGGCCACATGGAATTCAGAACACAGCTTGCTGCTTTCCCTGGAGTTGGCGAGGCCCACCTGCTCTCTCCCCACTCAGGGCAGCCGAACGACCTTCTGTTTCTCCCAAGACTGCCTCCTTCGGGTTTCAAGGAAGACCCGCATTTGAACACTGAGACACAAATCCAAGATCCCCTCTCTGGGCCTTTGTCCGGACAATGCCTTCCCTCAGGAACACCCTTCCTCATCGCCCCACCTCCTCAAACCAAAGTTGGTCTCTGTGCTCTGGTGTAGAACAAGCTCCAAGATACATTTTTAAGGGGAAACAGCAAGGTACAGAACAGAACGTGCTGAATGCTCCCTCTGGGGTAAAAACAGGGAGCCAAACAGCACATTTTATGCTTAAATATTTCTGGAAAGACGTGCAAAAATGAGTAATAAGAGTTGCTTCTGGGAAGGGGGTCTGGGTTCTGGGATGGAAAGGAGTCTTGCTTTTTATTTTATGTCTTTTAGTGGGGAATGCACACACACACACATATATGCACGTGCACGCACAGATACGCTTTTAAAAAATCCTACAGGCCGGGCGTGGTGGCTCAAGCCTGTAATCCCAGCACTTTGGGAGGCCGAGGAGAGAGGATTGCCTGAGCCCATGGGTTTGAGACCAGCCTGGGCAACATGGTGAGGCCTTGTCTCTACAATAAATCAAAAAATTAGCCAGGCATGGTAGCACGCGCCTGTAGTTCTGGCTGCTTGGAAGGCTGAGGCAGAAGAATCACCAGAGCCCAGCAGGTCAACGCTGGGGTGACCCTGAGCATGCCACTGCACTCCAGCCTGGGTGACGGAGTAAGACTCCAACTCAAAAAAAAATCCTACAGAGTCTTCAAGGCCTAGCTCAACATGCTTTCCCAAACACCTTAGCTCCTGGAGACCCAAATGCATTTTGTGGACGACGAAAGGATTTCCACATAGCCTAGCCCCATCTTTCCTGGTTTCTGAGGGCTGGGCCGAGGCCCAAACACTCCCTTTCCCTGGAACCCCTGGGGCCTAGAGCACTAGACAGGCCCAGATTCACCAGTGGGCGGAAGTCCTAGGCGCCTCCCTTCCTCCTCTGCCCAGGGGGTCCAAGAGGGGCCACGCAGGACACCAGCTGCCCTCCCCACGCGTGGCCGGCAGCTGCTCACCGTCCTGAATGGCGCAATTGGCCAGGAGGTCCTTGATGGTGTCCGTGTAGACCAAGCGCATGCGCCGACGCTCGGCCGCCACACTGTGTTCCATCTTCTCCTCCTCTGTGCGAGGCATGATCTGCTTCAGCTTCACCTGTCGGCCAGGGGACAGAGTGGGGACGCTCAGGACAAGCCTCTTGAAATAGCACAAGGGCCTGGGCGCGGTGGCTCAGCCGTAATCCCAGCACTTTGGGAGGCTGAGGTGAGGGGATTGCCTGAGCCCGGGGGTTTCAGACTAGCCTGGACAACTTGGTGAGACCTCATCTCTATAATATATCACAGAATTAGCCGGGTGTGGTAGTGCACATCTGTAGTTCCGGCTACTTGAAAGGCTGAGGCAGAAGGATCGCCTGAGTCCAGCACGTCAACGCTGGGATGGCCGTGAGCGTGCCACTGCACTCCAGCCTGGGCAACAGAGTGAGACTCTAACTCAAAAAAATAAAACAAGAAATAGTACAAGGGCCGGTCCCCAGTGCTATCGCATTCCTGAGGCTGGCACGCAGCACGCCCACACTGCTGATCAGTTGCAAGGCTTTCCCCGCTCTTTGCCCCATCTTCCTGCCTCCATGTTGACCTGACACAACATATTCGCCCTCCCGGTCCCCCTCTTGGGCAAAGGGTCAGAGGATGGGGGTGTCACCGCGGGACGTGAGGAACCCTGAGACCTGAAGAACCCTTGAGTGATCACAAAGGAAGGTAGAGAGAGGCACCTGGGCGGGCTCAAAGTGAGGTAGGCCTAACTTTGGGGGCTGTGGACTCCTGCTGTGCCCCTCTCCCGATCCCTCCGCCAACCCTCACCTTGCCACCCCGATCCAGGCCTCCACGGCAGGTGCCTAGGTCACCGAGCAGCAAGGAGTGGCCAGGTCTGCCTACCTACCTTGGCAATCTCCCGGTGGGCCACAAAGGTGGCCAAGGCCTTGCACACGTTCCACTGCTTCTCGGAGCACAGGTCCTCGGAGGCCACCTGGATGCCCACCTGGAGAGAAAGAGAAGGGTGGGAGGAGAGAGAGGGAAGTCCCACCCCAGGCCAGGCCTCTGATATTTCTGGAGCACCGACCAGGTCTAGGAGGCCAGAGACCTGGGGTAGGTTCGGACTCTGCCCCTGGCTCCCTGGGAAACCACGGGCAAGTCACTTCCCTTCTCTGGGTCTCAACTTCCTCATCTGTAAAATGGGAATGATCAGACCCTCTCCCACAGGGTTATTGAGACTGTGTCCACACACGGACTTAAAGTAGAGCCCGCCAAAGCTTCAGACCCTTCCCCACGGAAATCCTGTGCCCTCCTATAATGAGAAGGGGGGCTGCAGGTGGCCAGCTCACAGGCCACAATCCAGTGCATCCCCTGCCCCAGCCCCCTCCTCCTGGCCCAGGCCCCATGCTGTCTTCCCTGAAGTCCGGCCACCACACTGAGACTGGATGTGAAGACTCAGGAGGCTGGAAGTCAAGTCCCACGTTGGAATCCAGGTCGCACAGGGACCTGGGTCAAGTCCCTCCTTCCCCTCCCTGGGACTCAACTTTCCCTTCTGCATAACAGGACGCTGGACAGGAAGACCCTTAGGATCCTGCCAGCCCTGTCGGCCATTTCAGAACTCTGCTGCCCCAACCAGGGCTCTGCGTGCGTGAGGACGCCTAGGCCAGGGCCCGAGAGGACAGGGGAGAGGAGGTCGAGGACCCACCCACGCACCCAGTCCCAGGCGGCGCCCACCCCACACACCTCCATGCTGGAATTGAAGGCCCGGTTCACCTTGGCCTTGATATTCACCACTTGTCCAACACTGAGGAGAGGAAAGAGGAGGTGAGCCTTCCGGAGGGGACAGGGGGAGGGGCTGGGGCCCTCGGATACTTGCAGGGTCTCTGCTGGGGTGGCGGGGAAGAGGGGACTGGTAGGAGAGCTTCACGGCCAGCAAAGCATATTCACACCTGCGATGTCACCAAGCTCTCAAAGCAAGCCAGCAAGACAGCATCAGCACCTCATTGTGCAGGTGGGGAGGCTGAGGCCGAGGGAAGCGGCAGGATTCCACACATCCCCCCCACCCCCCACCTTCCCCTGCTCCCTGTTGCCTGATGACAGCTTGAGATTCTCTCTGCCCTTAGCTCAATGGTGCCCTCCCCCAGGAAGTCCTCCCTGCCCTCCAGCAGGCTGCCCTCTCTCTTCCACAAGCCTCAAGCTCCACTGGGCCAGATGTCTTGCTTCCCATAGACCTTCCAGGCCAGGCACAAAGCACAAGGTGGGAATCCCATGAGCAGGGGCAGACTGAATTAATAAACACCACATTTATTGGATGCCTACTAAGTGCAAGAAGCCACTTAGTAGGGCAGAAGGAGAGATGGAAATACGTGCCAGGCTCCATGCACTATCTCATTTGAGCCTCAAAACAAGCCTGCCGTGTAGGCTTACGGGGGACTGAGCACCATCAGAGAAGTTAAGCCACTTGCCCAAGGTCACTCAGTGGAAAAGTGGCAGAGCAGGCTTCTAGACTGATTCTGCACCAGACTCACTCTTTGCAGCGACAGCCTGTGCCTCTGGAATGAGTCCCACATCCAGATGAATGCCCAGGGGAGCCACCTAGCCTGTCCTATGCCTGACTGGAGGGGACAGAGGGTGCCCAGCTGGTGGGCCTTGGGGGGAGCAGTGGTCTGGAATGCTGGCCCCGTTCAAGTGCCACGTGACCCTGAGCAAGTCCTACACCTCTCTGAGCCTTGGCTCTTAGGCATGGAGCCCACCATGCGGATTTCTTCCTCAGATGGTACAGTCTCCTGCCCAAGCCTCAGGAAGGGTCCATGCCAAGGGGCCTGCTGGTCCGGAGGCTGTAGTGGACACAGCGGCAGCGGGAAAGGCCTCGCAGGCCTGGGTTCCAGTCAAGCTCTACCTTGCCTGTCACGACCAAGTTGTAGACCCTGGGTGAGTCACGTGACCTCTCTGGGTCTGTTTCCTCCTGTGTGGAGCACGGAGCGCCCATGACTGTGGTCTGTGGTTCTGGGGGCCAAGGGGGAGAAAACGGGATGGGGCCGAGTGTTTAAATAAGCACATAAATAACACACGCTCATGCCTGCCAGACGTGTGTGGATTTCTGTACATTTTTTTAAGCAGTGCTAATGGTCGTATAGGGGAGAGTGATTTTTAGGAGATACATGCCGACGTGTTGAGGGGTGAGGCATCATGATGTCTGCGACCAATGTTCAGACGGCTGTGGGGGGTACGTCATGTATTCATATATAAATCAAACACGTTTAGCAAAATGGCCATTATGGGAGCTCAGTGGTGGGTTTCATGATCAAAAATTCAGGAAAGAAAATTTCTTTTTTTTAACCACTATCACTCGATTGGAAGGAAAAGAAAACTTCTATGGTCCCCAAGATAAAAGAAGTTTATTTTCCGTGGGGCTAAAAGAGAGAAATTTGTGACTGGTCCTACTCTCCTGCGCCTCTTTCTCCCCTCCTTTTCCTCTCCCTCCTCTTCCTCCTCCTCCTCCTCCTCCTCCTTCTCTTCCTGTACTCTTTTTTTTTTTTAGTTAGAGTCTCACTCTGTCACCCAGGCTGGAGTGCAGTGGCACACTCAGGGCCACCACAGCCTGGACCTGCTGGGCTCAGACGATCCTTCCGCTTCAGCCTTCCAACTAGCCGGAACTACAAGCAGGCGTGTGCCACCACACACGGCTAATTTTTTGATTTACTGTAGAGATGAGGTCTTGCCATGTTGCCCAGAGGGTCTCGAACCCATGGGCTCAGAAAATCCTCTTACCTTGGCCTCCCAAAGTGTTGGGATTACAGGCGTGAGCTACCGCGCCCGGCCTCTGCTCTTCTTCTTCCTCCTCCTCCTCCCCTCTATCTTCCCCAAAGCCCACAGACACCCACTGGACTTTTCTTCCCCGACCCTCCTCTGTCCCCACAGCTCAGGCCCATGCCAGTCCCCTCCCCATGTCACTCAGGGGCTCCAAGCTTCCCACCACCCTCCAGGTGTTCCTCACAGCACAGGGAAGCAGCTCCCCATAAACAAATCCCACCCCGTCAAGCCCTTCCCCAGACCAATTTGCTCTCAGGGGACAGAGGAACATGTTAAGTTGCACCACAGTGATGCTCAGAGCAAACCCAGATGATGGAGAACTTGATTGTTTCCTCAACAAATAAAATTCAATAAAAAAAAAAGAGAGAAAGTGAGGGACGGCTGGTAGTAAGGGCGAAAAGTAGGGGAGTATCTACGGATTTTTTTTAAAGACAGACAGAGTAACCAATTAAAATCATTTGCATCCTGAGTTGAATAACAAAAATAAACTGTAAGGCAAAACAAATAAAAATAAATTCAAGAAACAGTGTGAGCATTTGATAGCAGTCATGTCATAACTAGTAGACATGCCAATGAGAAATCATTGTAATTTTTTTAGGTTTTGTACTGATATTGAAGTTATGTGTTTTGTTTTGTTTTGTTTGAGTTGAGATCTCACTGTCGCCCAGGCTGGAGTGCAGTGGCATGATTATGGCTCACCTGGGCTCAGGCGATCCTTCCACCTCAGTCTCCCAAGTAGCTGGGACCTCTGGTGCGCACCACCAGGCCTGACTAATTTTTTTATTTTTATTTTTTGTAGAGACGAGGTCTTGTTATGTGGCCTAGGCTGGGAGGTTATATTTTAAAGAGTCCATACCCCTGAGAGATACATCTGGAAATAGTTTTAAATGGCAAAAGGGCAAACAAAAACTTCCCAGCTTTCCAGGGGGGCAGCCAGGCTTTCCCTGGCCCCCAACCGTGCTCCTGGCCCTTTCCCAGCCCGCCCTCCTTCCTGGGGTCCCCTCTGGTTTCCCTTTTGCCCACACCCTCTCCTCCTAGACTCACCTCCACTCTGCTGGCCCTGCAGAGGCCCACCCATGCTCAGGCACCCCAGCCCTCTCTCTTCCCAGGTCCTCAGTCACAGAACCTGGGTTGCCAGCAGGGCCCCAGAGCCGGGCCAGGCACGGCTCCGCTGGCCTTCAAAGCATCACTACATACAGTGCTGACAGTACTGATGCCAGCTCTAACACCTCCCCCAGGAAGCCCCCTTGACTACCCTCTGCGCCTCCACACCCAACCCCAGACATCTAGGAAATGCAGCCCACTGGTGAAGAGCAAGGGTCCTGGGACCAGAATGCCTGCCTGGTGGTGTATCCTGTAGGGCCTTAAACAAGCTGCCTCACTTCTCTGTGCCTCAGTTTCCTCATCTGTAAAATAAGGATACAAATAGCCATGACCTCATGGTGTTCTGAGGACTAAATAAGGGAGTATTAAAAAGGCATGACAAATAAGGCATCAATATTGGCTCCTTAACTGTGACAAAGGTGCCCTACAAATGTAAGACGTCAATCATAGGTCAAATAATGGCTGTGGGGTAAATCGGAACTCTCAGACTCTCTTTAGAGACATAACTTTTTTTTTCTTTTGAGTCGGGGTCTCACTTTATCACCCAGGCTGGAGTGCAATGGCACAATCATGGTTCACTGTAGCCTCAAACTCCCGAGCTCAAGGAATCCTCCCACTTCTGCCTCCCAAATACCTGGAACTACAGGCATGCACCACCAGACCCAGCTGATTTTTTATTTTTATTTTTGTAAAGATGGAGTCTCACTCTGTTGCCCAGACTGGTCTCAAATTCCTGGGCTTAAGCAACCCTCCCACCTTGGCCTTCCAAAGTGCTGGGATTACAGGCATGGGCCACCACACCTGGTCATGATATAACATTTGTCATAAATCTAAAACTATTCTAAAAGAAAAAGTATTTAGAACAGTGTTACAAAATACCCATGTGTCAGAGCTCTTTATCAGCATGGAACTTCTCACTTTGAATTTTTCTTTTTTGAAGGCAGGGTCTTGTTCTGTCGGCCAGACTGGAGTAGAGTGGCATGATCATATCTCACCACAGCCTTGAGCTCCTGGGCTCAAGCGGTCCTCCTGCCTCAGCCTCCCGAGTAGCTGGGGTGACAGGTGTGTGCCACCAAGCCTGGCTGTCACGCTGAGTTAAATGGGGGAGTGCCTGAGAACAGGGGCTGCGCTCCAGTGGACTCTGTGTAACCAGACGTAGCACAGGCCTTGTTCTGGAAAAAGGCGCTCAGCTAACATAGGTATGTGGGGAAGTAATGACCAAATAACTGGGGACAGGGGCTGGTCAAACCTCTTTAACTGTGACACACTGGGCACTCAGGCAGCCATGACTAAGCCCTGGCACTTGGTGACCTCAGTACTGACGGGAGTTTAGGTACAGGCCCAGGACACGAGCTCTGTGTGCAGCCCTGGTAATGACCCAAACTGAATGACCCAAGCTTCCAGCTCAGACCTTGCCAAGACACCTTGGCTAGGGGACCTACCTACGGTCCAGTAACCAATGACCCACAGAGAGTGTCCAAGTTCAAAAAGGCATTACTGTCTAATTCTAACGCCTTCCATTTTGCAGATAAGAACACTGAGGCCCAGAGAGAGAGAGACAGACTTCCCCAGTCACACAGCACTCCACAATGCTCTCTGCAACATCCAACTCCCAACCTGAAGACCTTCCATGGCCCCCTAGCCCAGGGAATCCACCCACAACACCTGCAACAGGCCAGCTCCTAGCCCATCGCGGTCCCAGAGACCCTGCAGGTGGTTTCTCACTGTATCCACTCCACTTCGGCAGCCGGGCAAGTTGACAAGGGAGCAGGCCCCAGACTCGTAGAAGGGAGGCCAGAAGGACCTTATGGCAGGAGCGGCCACTTACCTAATGGTGTGCTCAAAATAGATGTCATCCATGGAGGCTGTGACACAGGGGCAGCCAGCATGCCTCTCCGCTGGCATCAGGAGAAGAAAGCCAGCGTTAGCCACCTCCCCATGTCACGCAGGCCTCTGCTCAGATGTCACCTCCTTAAGAGGTTCTCCGGCCACCAAGCCAAGGCCACCACACACCGCACCCTCCCTTCTTCACGCGCCTTCTCCACTGTCACCATTCCCTGACTCTATTTTGCATATCTGGTTTTTTTTGGTTTTTTTTTTTTTTGAGTTGGAGTCTTACTCTGTCGCCCAGACTGGAGTGCAGTGGCTGCTCCCGGCCACTGCAGCCTCGACCTGCTGGGCTCCGGTGATCCTTCTGCCTCAGCCTTCCAAGTAGCTGGAACTACAGGCGCACGCTACCACGCCCGGCTAATTTTTGATTTGTTGTAGAGATGAGGTCTCGCCAAGTTGCCCAGGCAGGTCTCAAACCCCCGGGCTCAGGCAATTCACTCACCTCAGCCTCCCAAAGGTGCGGGATTACAGGCTGAGCCACCGAGCCCGGCATATCTGGTTTTTGTCTGTCCATTGCCTCTCCCTCTGGCTAGACTGTAACTTACCCAAGGACAAGGACTTTTGCCTGTCTTGTTCACTGCTGTATCCCAGTCCTAGAACAGCGTCTGGCATGTGGCAGACACTCAGAAAATGCTGTTGAATGGGTTGGCGATCACACCATGCTGTTCTGCCTCCTGGCCTCCCAGAGCGCCCACCCATCTCCTCGCCTGAGTCATTCATGCCCTCAGGTCTCCACTCAGGTGCCACAGCCCCTCAGGAATCTCCTCCCTGCCCCCAGGCTGGTTCAGGGCCTCTCAAACAGTTCTGGAGGGGTGTCACCTGTCTGTCCCTCATCCTCACCCCACCAAGCTGTGAGCTCTGTGGGCTGGGGAGGAATGAAATAGGCTCAATCCAGCTCATCTCAAGTCACCTCAATAGAGGGGGGAGCTGTGAGGCAGGCAGTTCGGCCAGGTGTGATGGCTTATGCCTGTCATCCCAGCACTTTGGGAGGTGGAGGCTAGAGGACTGCCTGAACCCAGGGGCTCGAGACCAGCTCGGACAACTTGACAAGACCTTGTCTCTATGATAAATCAAAGAATTAGCCAGGTGTGGTGGCGTGTGCCTGTTATTCCAGCTACTTGGAAGGCTGAGGCAGAAGGATCACCTGAGCCCAGGAGTTTGAGGTTGTGGTGTCCGTAAGGGTGCCACTGCACTCCAGCCTGGGTGACAGAGAGAGACTCCCACTCAAAAAAAAAAAAAGCGGGGAGACACCTCTTATCAACAAGGGTACCTGAATGGAGTATATTTGCATACCTAACCCTTAACTGTACCCCACAATATCATTTTTAAAAATTGATTAAAAAAAAAAAAGAAACACAAGAGAGAACCCAAAAGAAACAGGAAAAAAAAAGGCTGTTGAGGCCTTGGCATTTTCTTTTCTTTTCTTTTCTTTTTTTGAGTCGGAGTCTCACTCTGTTGCCCAGGCTGAAGGACAGTGGCACAGTCATGGCCACCACAGCCTCGACCTGCTGGGCTCAGGCAATCCTTCCACCTCAGACTTCCAAGTAGTGGAACCACAGGTGTGCGCCACTGTGCCTGGCTAATGTTTTGATTTATTGTAGAGACAAGGTCTCACCAAGTTGTCCAGGCTGGTCTCGAACTTCCAGGTTCAGGCAGTCCTCTCACCTTGGGCTCCCACAGTGCTGGGATGACAGGCATGAGCCACAGTGTCCGGCCTGCCTTCGCATGTTCAAGTCAATACCCACGTCTGCACTGTGCTAAAACAGGGGCAAAGGACCGTGGGGATCTGAGGGAGAGAGTGCTGGGCATTAAGTAACCGGAAGGGCAGCTCAGGCAGGGGGGACCAGCATGAGCAAAGGCTGGATGGGAAATGAGTGTGGCACTCAGGGGCCACCACGACTGCCTCTGAAGACGAGGCCCCACTCTGGGCCCACACGGCAGGGGTGGAAACCCCATGCGGAGCGCAGCCTCACCCGACAAGCAGGCCGTGGTGTCGATCCACTTGAGCAGCTGCCCCACGCTCAGCTCGCCGCGCTGGTTGGTGTGGCAGGGCAGCACTAGCTGGCTCATCTGCACCTCCGTGGGGTTCCGGTAGCCCTCGCCATCGGCCATGGCGCCGTCCTTGTCCCCGGCACGTGAGCCCGACTTCCGGGATGTGCGGCTGGAGAACACAGAGGCGAGGCCCTGGGGAACAGGAGAAGACGGAGAGATCAGCCCACAGCAGGGTGCCCCAGGTCTGCCCGGCCTTGAGACCTCAGGGCCCGAGGGAGAGGAGCAAGCACCCAGGGCCACCACCCACCAGGCCCCGACTCTAGAGTGGCCACCACCTTGGTCTCAGACCCCACGGGCTCTCAGGATGCCACTTCTGCCCAGTCTCCTTTTGGCCAGCAACGGCACATTCACACAACCCCGGACCTGAGGAAGGCAGGGGAGAAGGCTAGGCAGAAAAGCCAGTCCTCCTCAGGTCATGGCTCTCTGTAGCCTCAATCCCCTGGGCTCAAGAGACCCTCCCGCCTCAGCCTCCTGAGTGGCTGCGATACAGACACATGCCACCGGCCCAGCTAAATGGGCCAAGTTTTTATAGTGTTGAGTCCGGGCACAATGGCTCGCTCCTGGGATCCCAGCCCCTTGTGAGGCCAAGGTGGGAGGACTGCTTGAGCCCAGGAGTTCAAGACCAGCCTGGGCAATATAACGAGATCTTGTCTCTATAAAAAAAAATTTAAAAATTAAAAAAATCAGCAGGCGTGGTGGCGCAAGCTGTAGCCCCAGCAACTCAGGAGGCTGAGGCAGAAGGATCACCTGAGCCCAGGAGGTGGAGGCCGTAGTGAGCTGTGATCACGCCATTGCACTCCAGCCTGGGTGACAGAGAAGACCCTGACTCAAGAAACAAAAATAAATAAAGTGTTGCCTTTCATTTACCCTCATTCTTGTACAATTTCCCCCTGTACAAGGGAGACCAAGGGAGACCCAGAGAGCCCGGCAGCAGGCAGGCCCAGAGCCTGGTTCCTAATCAAGTGTTTCGAGAAGCAGCTCTGACGTTGCCCCCAAAGGGCTTCTTTCTTGGGCACCTTGATTCTTCAGATGACATCAAGAGAGCCTCCATGGGGCGCTAATGGCTTTAGCCCTTGCACCTGTTGCCTGACCAGCGTCTGACCCAGGGCCAGAGGCAGCAGCTGTTAGCTGGAGAACCCAAAAGAGGATCCTCAGACCCGTGAGCTAGAGCCGTGGTTTCTGGGGGACACTGCCCATCTTCCTCTGCAGGCAGAAGAGGTGGGAAGTGCCTGGCAGTCCCTTCACAGCAGGGTGAGGGCAGGGGGAGGCGACCTGCCATCCTATCCCTCTGGGCCGCCCTCCCTGATCAGACTGTGGACAAGAGCTGGCTCGGTGGCTCAGCCTGTAATCCCAGCACTTTGGGAGGCTGAGGCGAGTGGATTGCCTGAGCCTGCAGGTTCGAGACTGGCCCTGGCAACTTGGCGAGACCTCATCTCTACAATAAATTAAAAAATTGGCTGGGCCGGGCTCGGTGGCTCAGCCTGTAATCTCAGCACTTTGGGAGGCCGAGGTGAGTGAATTGCCTGAGCCCGCAGGTTCGAGACCCACCTGGGCAACTTGACGAGACCTCATCTCTACAACAAATCAAAAATTAACCAGGCATGGTAGCGCGCACCTGTAGTTCCAGCTGCTTGGAAGGCTGAGGCAGAAGGATCGCCAGAGCCCAGCAGGTCGAGGCTGCAGTGGCCGGGAGCGGCCACTTGCACTCCAGTCTGTGACAGAGTGAGACTCCAACTCAAAAAAAAAAAAAAATTAGCTGGATGTGGTAACGTGCACCTGTAGTTCCAGCTTCCTGGAAGACTGAGGCAGAAGCATCACTGGATCACCCCAGGTCAACGCTGGGGTGGCCGTGAGTGTACCACTGCACTCCAGCCAGTGAGAATCCAACTCAAAAAGAGAAAAAAAAAGAAAAGAAAAAGAGCTGGCACACCTGCCTGTGAGAGAAAAAGAGGAGGGACAGGCCCATGGGTTCCAGCTCTCAAGGTCAATAATAATAGCCACCACTAACATTTATATAGTACTTAAATGTCACATGTTCTTTCTTTTCTTTTTCTTTCTTTTCTTTTTGAGTTGAGGGTCTCATCCTGTCACTCAGACTGGAGTACAGCGGCAAGATCGTGGCTCACTGAAGCTTCGACTTCCTGGGCTCAGGCGATTCTTCTACCTCCCAAGTAGCTGGAACTACAGGTGCGTACCACCACACCCAGTCAATTTTTTTTTTTTTTTTTTTTTTTTTTTGTAGAAACGAGGTCTCTGTGTTGCCCAGGCTGGTCTCAAACTCCTGGGCTCAGCAATCCTCCTGCCTGGCCTCCCAAAGTGCTGGGATTATAGGCATGAGCCACCTGGCCACATGTCACATATTCTTATAAGCACTTTATATGTACTAATCCGATTTTATCCTCCCAACACACCTATGAGATAATTACAGCTGGAGAAATTGATGCCCAAGTAAGTGACAAAGCCCAGCTGTGACTCTAGTGGTGTGCCCTACCTGCAGGGCTTCCTGGGACAGAGATGAGGAGTCCAGGGCCCTGGATGTGGCTTGCAGTGGCAAAGAGTACAGTGATCAACTGCTCAGGACCAAGGCAGTGATGGCTCCTGTATTAGGGTCTGTACTCCTTGGATAATTGCCCCACGAGGTTCCCATAGCTAATTCAATCCATTCAACATACATCGAGACGACTTGTTGAAGGTCATTGACCCCTAAGTGGCAGATCCAGGATTTGAACCAGGTCTGTCTGCCCCAGAACTGCTTGTGGGTACCCAGAGAGGCAGGGTCATTCCAAGAGCCCCTGGGTGCCAGGCACAGCGCTGGGCACCAAGGGGAGAAAGGAGGGCAGCTGGCCCAGGAGCTCTCAGCCCGGGTGGAGGCCTGCGGGGTGCCCGGCTGCCCAGCTTGTAGGCGCTCACAGAATCCAGCTGCGGTCCAAACAGCAGGACCTGCTGCGGTCCAAACAGCAGGACCCGTCGCCATGGTAATCAGGCCAAGGCACTTCCAGCCTGGCTGTGCATTGGGGGCCCGCGTAGATGCGGATGCCGGTGGTTGGCATTCTAGGTGCGGGAGCAGGTGGAGGGAGGAGGCGGGCAGACCACTCACCCACGCTCTTCCCAAGCCCCTCCTGCAGCCAGGGGTACTGTGGAGAACATTCCAGAGAGAAGCCCTGGAGAGAACTGAGGAAAATGGAGGAGGAAAGACGCGGAGGGAGCAGACCCTCTGGGGCTTGTGGGCGGCCTGAGCACACACACGGGGAAGCCCCGCACACGACACCTCTGCTCTACCAGCCTGGGCACTCCACCACCTCTCTGGGTCCTCACGGGGAAGGCCGAGGGTGAGGACTGTCGACCCACGTTAGGTGAGGAAGCCAGGGCCGGACAAAGCCCTGGACTGGCAGTCGTGCTGGCTCCAGGCCTCTCTCTGCTTCTCACGGGTCCAGCCCCTACTCCCATGAGCCTCCTATTGCCTGTTCTGCCCCTGCCTTCCTGCTAGACTCGCCATCGCTGGAGCTGGATCTCTACCTTGTTCGGGGGTCCATGCATTCAGTTATTCATTCACCAAATGCCTCCTCTGCCCTGGGTTCTGAGCCACACACCGAGAAGACAAAGGCAAATTGGACCTAGAAGGACCCGGCACACAGCAGCCTCTCATCAAAGGCACGTGAAGGGACAACCAGAGACAGACTTGAGTTCAAATCCTAGCCCTGTCCCTCAGGTGCCACATGATCTGGAGCAAGGCCCCTCCCCTCCTAAGTCACACCTGTCACTCCCCACATGGGAGAGAGAACTGCCAATCCCTAAGGTACCCCCCAGCCCTGGTCCCAGGACTCTGGGGTCCAACCCGGCCTGGCATTTGCACCCCAGCTGAGATTTCCTGTGCGCACGCTCTACAGCCCTGTCACCCTGTCAGACAGGAAGTGTCGCGCTCCTCGAAGCAAGTTGGGGGACAAGCCTCACCACTGCTGTCCCCCAAATCCCCTGCACAGCGCCCTCTGGCTGGAGCACAGAGCAGCTCGGGAAGGGGGGGTCTTCAGACTCCAACTGCTTCCTTGGGCTCCCAGGCAGCTGCCCACGTCAGCGCTGCCCACGTCAGCGCAACCCAGGCCAGGCCTCCCAGTCCCTAGATGGGCAACCAGCCAGCCTGGGAGGCAGGGGTGTGTGCAGCCCAGGCAAGCTTTGGCCAATGAGGACCCGCAGCCGGGCCACTCCTCCCAGGGCCAGTCACAGGGCCGGCAAAGGCCCTGGCTGGAGTCAGGGCCTGGGAGAGCCAGACAAGCCGAGCCAAGGCAGCGCCAAGGGTGAGAAGGCACCCAGAGGTCGGAGACATGCCCTCTCAGACAGCAGCGTGCCAGACGCTGGCCCCAGGCCCTGGCAGACTTCATAAATCTAGCCAAGGCCCCAGCCAGCCATCCCACGGGCTCTGTGTCCCTCCTCCTGGGTCTAAGTCACATCACAGACCTGTTGGGTCACGGCAGGAGATGCCACCTCACCCAACCCCTTCACAGCTGGGGGACGGAGGCATGGAGGGAAAAGCTGCCCGGGTCACCCAGCTGGGGGAGCCAAGATAAGCCCTCGTAGGCCAGGGCTCCTTCTGGTGCATCTGACCACAGGCCCAACTGACAGGCTTAAGTGTGACTTCCTTCCTCTGTCCAGCATCTAAGTCCCAGGGATCCGACTCCTTAAACTCAGTCTGCCCCACTGCCCTGTCTCGCTCAGGCCGTGCGCTGGGGGCTCTGGGCTATACCACAGCCTGTCCACAGGCCTCTGGTCTCTACCTCCTTCCAGTCTTCACATAGCACCAGAGGGATCTTTCCAAGAAGCAAACCTACCTACTGAACAACCACCACCTACTATGTCCTGCCTTCTAGGGAGACCTGGTCCTCATAACCCCTCCCACCGCCAGACTTTGCTCTGTCTCTCAGGACCACACAGACCTTTCTTTTTTTTTTTTTTTTTTT